ACCTACCCTCCCAGTGAGGTGGGTAACCTGCTGGACAACCCACCGGCTTATTCTGTATGAATCACAAGTCGGGGCTGGTGTGGGTGCTTTGCTCGTCTTCGCCCTTTCCAGGCCCTGGAAGTGGAGTAGAACCTCAGATTCCTCTGCGACTTGTTTCTCTTGGTCCGAGGAGGAGCGTTTTTGTAACCTGGATGTCTTTTTTAAGTGTCATTCCCAATGTTTCTTTTTCTTGGTCTTTTTGGAGGTGTGTGAAGAATTAGAACCCTGTAGGTCTTGCTGTTACAGAAGAATAACGTAGAAAGCATGAATCTTGTGCTTTGGCGTTAAAACTTGACTTCCACTTCTTTCCTACGAAGTTGTTGCCTATAAATGATCGTGACTTGGGGCCACTCATACAGGATGTATCCGCACAGTTCTGACTGGAGTTATCCAACCATTGCCAAAAGGAGTTAACTGTGATAAAAAAAATAATGGGGAGAAGACCTTGCAGTTGGTTAAGGGCTACCAGAAATGTGGGGAAAGCCTGTGATTTTGCTCTGGGGCCCGGACAGCAATGCTCAGCAGTTGAGTATTGACCTAGGATCCAGGAGATGGAGGTTTGATTTGGTGTCAGGGCACATGCCCGGTTTGCAGGCTCGATCCCCAGCAGGGGGCGTATGGGAGGCAGCCGATCAATGACTCTCATTGATGTTTCTCTCTCTCCCTCTCCCTTCCTCTTTCTGAAATCAATTAACATATATATATATATATACTTAAACTTTATCAGGGAGAATATAGTGATGAATTTAGCCTGGGAGATATGGCTCTCTGTGCAAAATCATTATGTTATTATCTTTCATCCTATTGGAGGTCTGAGTTTTCACTTCAAAGTAAGCTCCCCATCAGAGTATAAAATTGGGAGCCCTTGTTACCTCTGGAGAGCTTGAAGAGTTCCCAGAACCTCCTGGAGCTCTCAGGATTCCCCAGTGGAAGGGTAAGCCTATCCTCTTCACTGAGCTGCATGGCTGTGTGGCCACGGATCCCCCGTGGGTCCTGCCTCAGCAGGGGGCCCAGTTCCCTTGCTCAGCTTCCCACCCAGAAATTCCTCCTTGGGCTGTGTACACCCGGGCTGGCTGTGGCTCGGAAACTGCTTTGCATTCCACTCACAGGAGACTGCTGAGCCTGTAGTTGCAGACTGCAGCGTGCCTTTGTCTCTGTCACCCTGACCCGCTGCAGAGGAACGATCAGAGCTGTGGCAGGACTTCTCTAGAACAGTGGGTTGGAGTGATCTACTTTCCCCACCATCGTACAGAGAGCCTCCCATGACTGCAGAGGGTCAGTGGGGAAAGAAGGGGTCTCCCGTTAGCCATGTCTCCCCTCCCTGTTCTGGATGTGGAGTAGCCAGGTCTCCTTTTTCTTCTCTGTCATTCACCCTAAGGTTCATGTCCTCCCTCCTTTGCCTGCCTCTGTATCCTTCCACATCTTTCCTCTTTGAAGCAGCCTGGTTCCCATGGAAACAGCAATGTCATTGGAAGAGTTGGAGCCTGGGAATGTCCCCAAGGGCAAGAGAAAGTCACTCAACAAAAGGACTAAAACCCACCCAGAGGCTTGATTCTCACTATGGCTTCATGACAGTTCTCATGGTGATAGGATGGGAAGCTTTAGGGGCAGAACCTTGGGGGCTGCAGAGGTAGAAAACTATACATTCATCTTTGTGCTTGTCAGTGTCTGGTGAGCCAGTGAACTAGATGGGGCTGCAAAACAACAGGATAGGTTCTCATGTAGAGGGCGGGTCCTACTACTTTGTAGCCATAGCTCCTATCTGGCTTGTTTTTTTCATCTTCTTTCATCCAGAGCCCAGGCCTTGGGGGGGCCTTGAAGGGGGGGCTGAGAGAATCCTGTGATTGTCCTCATTGAGGCTGCGAGCAGGGCTCCTGTCCCTTCTTGGCCACTTCACAGTCATGCGAATGACTGGTTCACTCAGTTTCTCGGCGCCCTGGTTACCTTTATGTCATGGACCTCAGAGCTGCCTGGACCCGCTGCTGGGTGGTTATAAAGACGGGCCAAGAATATCAGCTATAGGGTCTTCTCAGAGTGGGGGCATCACAGCTCCTGAGATGGTCCTAGGAACAGGAATTGAAGTAAGTGCTGGGATCAGGGACCAGGCCCTCACTGTGACCAGGGCTGCCTGCCCACCGCCCTCGTCTCGCCCTGTTGCTACTGCAGGTGCAACACGCAGGACTACATCTGGCACAAGGGGACGCGTTGCGAGTCCATCATCACCGACTTCCAGGTGATGTGTGTGGCCGTTGGCTCGGCCGCCCTTGTGCTGCTCCTGCTCTTCATGATGACCGTGTTCTTTGCCAAGAAGCTCTATCTGCTCAAGACGGAGAACACCAAGCTGCGCAGGACCCAGTGAGTCTGAGCCAACCAGCCCCACCCAACGCCACGGCCCTGTGGCTGCACCCCTCCACCCTACCCAGGATGTCCTCCCGAGGGTTTCTGGCCCCAGCTTTCCATCCCTAGTCGTGTTTTTCATACCAAAGATTCACCTGAGCATATCCATTCCTACAGAGAATGTGCTGGAATTGCGGCAAAGGCCAAGCCCGGGTGGCACACTGCAGCTGTCCAGCACCATTCCCCACCCCCACCCCGGATAGGGGGTACTTAAAGGAAAGGCATCCAGCGTAAGCAACCCCCAGCTCTGTGCTCAGTCCCCGCCCCCACCTGACTGCACTGCTGCATGAAATAGCTCCAGCTGCCTCCAATCTGAGTGCACCGCAGGGCGTGGCTTTTTGAAGCTCACCAACCCTGGATCCAGACAGAAGTGCCAAGAACTTCAGGAAATCCTCTTTACCTCCCCTAAGTAGAATTTGGGGAGCTGAGGGGTCTAGGCCTAACTTCCTCTACTGGGGATTTTAAGGGCCACTTGGGGATAGAGTCTCATTTCAGCTCTTAGCAGAGGGGAACCGCCGCATGCGTTTGAAAATCAACATGCATTTACCTTCAAGTGCATGCCTTGGACACTCTCGTGTGACCTTGCAAACTGTGAGACAGTCACTCTTATCACTGAGCAAAGTAAAGAACCATCAGAGGTGTCATGAGAGCCACAAAAAGAGGAGATTGGAGCTCAGCTTTCTTGGGGCCCAAGAGACAATTTATGCAGAACTGTGCCCACCTCCCTTTCAACCTTTTGCCCCACTAATCCCCTCCCCTTGACCTGAGACTCCCTCCAGAGAATGTGACTGAAGGCCTTTCCCTGGGTCCTGGGAAAAGGGCAGAACGCCATCTGTTGCTCCTTTGCTGGGTAACCACGTGCAGTGTGTAGACTCCTGCAATCCTGCAGCCTTCCAGCTAACTGTCCTGGGGCCGCAGGGGCCTCTCCATTGTGCCTGTGCACTGAGGCGGGGCGTGTCTGTGCATGTGATCACAAGCCAGGACCCTGGGCTCCTCAGGCTCACGCCAAAGGGGTGTGGGGAGCGGGAGGGACCACCTATCAGGACAGCTGCTGCTGAGGATGGGGGAGAGGAAGGAGCAGCTAACTGCCCTGGTTGTGGAGAAACAGGAACTGTGACCAGGGATGGAGCTTCGTTATAGGCCTTCCCCCTTTAGCTGGCTGTGTGTTTTGCACAGGGCATGGCTCCCGCACCCCTTCAGCTCAGATGCCGCCTCTCTGGTTCCCTCTGCATGCCTTCTTTCTTTCCAAGCCTGTCCGCTGCTCTGATTATGCTACACGTGCCCAGTGCACTGCAGATACTGCCGCAGTTTATTAATTCTAAGATACACAGGTGTGGTTTTTTTCACATATTAACATCTCTGAAATTGGATTGTGTCTTACAATTGCTGGCATCTTATAATCACGGTTGGCCAGATGGTAGTCATGATGTAGTTGTAATTGCCTGGCATACACGAACGTGGTCATAGCTGTTTGTAGTGTTGTCAGTTCTTTATCTAACATCTAAATGAGCTACTTCAAGTATGTAATAGAAACACTAGGAGATAAGAAAGCATGGGATCCTGGTTTAAGTGGTAGAAGTTTTTCCTTAGTGGTACCTCAAATATAGTGGCACATCTTATTATAGTCCACGACTTTTGATGAGGTATAGCGTTTGACCCATGAAGCTTTTGTTGGAGTTTGCCATGCTCATTTCACTTACATTTTCCTTTCTCTCTTCTGTCCCAACCAGCAAATTCCGGACCCCATCTGAACTCCACAACGACAACTTCTCCCTTTCCACCATTGCCGAGGGCTCTCACCCAAACGTAAGGAAACTTTGCGACACTCCCCGTACCTCCTCCCCCATGCCCGTGCCTTGGCTCACTATGATAATGTTATCCGCCAGGTAACTCGTCTTCTGCGTCTGCCCCTGTGCATGCCGCATACCCTGCCTGTGCCTGTGGTCTGTTTCCGAGTGCGGAGCCGCCACTCAGAGCTCTGGGATCAGTTTAGGGCAGGCGGTTGGGGCGGGGGACGTGGGAAGGATGCCTGGATGGGGTATCACTTCCTTGACAAGCGGAGCTGTGGGTAGTGCAGAAGATCTTTTTCTACGATGACTCAAGGTTGCAGCTTCATCTAGACTTTAGAAGTCTGATTTCAGTCTCCCCACTCTTTATATTAAGGAGAAAGGCTCTGCTTTGATTGCTGTGGAATTTCCTAGTGGTCATTGAAGCCAAGGGTGGCTGCTCTTTGGGATGGCTGGGGAAACAGTGTTGACACAGCTTGAAGACCCTACGCACTGGCAGACTTCAGTACACTTGTTAGGGCTGAGGGGAGCACAGAACACTGGTGAAGCCGTAAGACGGGTTAGTCCTGTTTTCAGGCGGTGGACTCATGAATACCAGTTGAAGCCCAATAAAAGGTCCCTGCAGACCCTTTTCTAAAGACCCTGACCTACGGTGTTGTCTGGTCCAGACTGGCCAGTAAAACACTGGGTACTGTCAGTGACAGTTTCAGAAGGAAAACAGAGACCACCCAAACCCCAAATCACACCCAAACCCAGGAATTCTGCACGTGACACAGGCTCCATACCACAAGGAAAACGCATCAGTACGTACACGAGGGAGCTAGACCAGGACTCTTCAGGTGGAAACAATGGCGTGTAAGAGGAAAGTCTAAAGTTCTTTAAAATAATGGACCACAGAGTATCAGCGCCCACTGGGGCCTTCTCAGTTGAGGCCAGTGCTGCCCACGGGAACTTACTGGGAGGTGGAAACACGTTCTGGAAGCGCTTTGCACCGTCCACCACAGCAGCCACGAGGTAGCCGTGGCTGTGGAGCTCTCAGGATGGGGCTAGTGCCACCGTATTGGACGGCACAGATCTAGGCATTGTCTCCTTTCTATAGATGGGGAAAGGGTCGCCCCAGACAGGGAAAGAGAGAGTAAATGAGACTTTGGTCACCAAACCCAGAAAAGAAAAGGCGTGGCCTGATGGAGGAAGAGCAAAGGGATTAATTTAAATAAGAAATGAAAGACGTTAATTTAGGATAATATTTAAAAGTTTTTGATATAAAGGGTAGAGAGGGAACAGATATTCTATTACTTGGTCTACACCAAGGTATGAGTAAGCTCAAGATGGACATAGTAACCAAGGAAACAGGATGTCCTATGACCTTTAAGATTGAAGCCACATTAATTAACCCACAACGATGTAGGCACCATGAGCCAGAACCTTGCTCATCTCAGTACACTCCATTCCTGCCTTACCCTGCCCCTTGCAGTAACACACATTCAGCTGTCACCTATGGGACGCTAGTGACCAATGGCCGACCGCAGGGTCTCAGTTCCACAGTCTGATCTGCCATCTGGTACATGTGGGGCGGCAGGTCTGACCTGGATGGTGGCTCCAGCGGTCAGGGTCTTCATTGTCCACAGAGTGCAAGGGCCCTTGGGAAAGGTTCTGACTCATGCATTTCTGGAACCCCAGGTGCAGGCCCCTTTCCTCCTCACAGAGGGGAGGGAAGGAAGTAGCTCCTCTTGGAGGCCTTGGTTACATGAGCCAATATAGAGGTTTCCAGTTCTTCTTGGCTGACCCAGCTTTCTGGAAAGCAAGGCATTCGTCCATGAAAGCTGCCACTGACCTCGAGTTCAGAACATGGCAAATGGGAAACGGAGTGGAGAAGGCGGTGGTCAGCCGTGGTGAACAGACGGTGCCTGAGCAGGGCCATGGGGTAGTCTGGGTGGCACTCGGGGCATCCCTCGGGGAAGTGACAGGATGAGGCTTTGGGATTCTGGCTGTTCTTGGGTCTTTAGGGTCGTTTCCACCTGGTATCCATCTTTCAGCTTATGCCCCAGGAGACATCCTGTCGTCTGGGCCAAAGCTCTGAGCTTGTGAGGGGAAGACTCTCCTGTCCAGCAGGGAGTGCCCTAGCAGGTTTTCTACCTCCATCTCTGATTCTCTCCACCTAGCCCAAAAAGTCAGACTTGGTCATGGTCAAGATGTGTAGGCATGGACAGTTGAGGTGGTTGATTGCTTACAGGTGAGCCAGCAGCAGGCTGAAGGGGGGGAAACCTCCAGGTGAGCGGGAGGCGAACCAAGGGGCACCCAGGTCAAGTCTACACTGAGTCTCTCCCCACCCCTCTCCCTCCACCCCCCAAATTTCCTTGTTGGTATTGGTGTCTCCTAAAATTTTGGAGAGTGCTATTCATCTTAATAGGGAGGTTATTTCTTTTACATAAGAAAGGTAGATTGAGTGGGTCATTTTCCTACCCAGGTTCAATAATCTACAGTCCAAGCTCTGAAAAGATTACAAACCAAGAAGAGCTGCCTCAGGTCTGTGGTGGGGGAAGGGTCAACTGCTGGTTTCTGTGTCAGTGGCACTTCCCTTCCCCCTGCTGCTGGCATCACCTGGTGCTGCTCCTGGCCTGGCCCCCCCTGGGCTGGTGTGCGGCAGCCAGAGGCTGAGTGTGTGTGGGAGTTCTTTGTGTAGCTGGGCAGCCAGCCTCGGAAGGATCCTCAGGAAGAAAGGGAACCACCTGCTGTGGAGGTTTGCGGTGTCCCAGGGGGCATGGCGAGTGTAGGAAGCTGGACACTGTCCAGGTGCACAGCATGAATGAAGTCACCTGAAATCCACGGGCAAACTGCCTGAGCCCTGCGAGCTGCCTGCTGGGTCTCCCAGCTGGGCTCTCTGCAGAACATCATGGATGTACCTTGGTCCTCCTGACTGGACAGCCCTTCTAGGATTTGCTCCCATTTAAATCTTTCTCACTTCCCAGATGGTTTTTCCCGTGTCTTTGGTGAAGTGCTCACTGCTCGCCCCTCCTGATAGAGGTTTGTGTGTGGACAAGTAGGGGTCTGGGCTGTGCCCACACTGCCGCACAGCTGAAAGAAACCCATATGGCCGGGAGTGCCGGGAGTGTGGGGTGCACCATAGTGCCCAGGTGCCCAGGACTTACGCCAGACAGAGGTCCAGCTCCCTTGTGATGAGGGACTCCGCCACACCAAAGGCAGATGGGCCTTCTGCCGAGGGAGTGTATAATGTGGTAGGGAGAGGGGGGCACGCAGGGGGTGAGGTTATCTTAAAAATCAGGAAAGCGTGTTCCATCCTTGTAAGTGAGTATAGGCCGTCCTATCATGTTCCAAGTTTTGCTGAGATCCAAAGTTCATTCTACCCAGGATCTTCAATAGTCTAACTCTCAAGCTCCCATGCACAGCGTCTCTCCCCAAACAATACAGAAGTACCCGAAAGAGGTGCAGCTCCCCCTCATCACACTTCCCTCTCCGTAAACCCTGCGTATGTGCGTGATTGCATACTATGCTCAGTATATCATGGAGATCTTTCCTTCCCAGCACATAGAGATTTATGTCACTGAAAAGTTTCTCTGCACCTCTCTGGGTAGCGATGGCGAATGTGAGGCGCCCGTGGGTGCCGGGCACAGCTGAAACCTGGCTCTGTCCTGTATGGAGACCATTTCCTCTTGTTCTTGTCTCATTGGAAATGGGGAACGTGTGTCCCCCATTGTCTGTAAATCACTCCTGAGGCCTTTGAAGCAGTTAAATTGCTCTCTTCAAGCTGGTCTGGAAAGTGCTAGTGAGGCAGGGAGTGGGGGCCATGACCGTGGTTTCCATGTGCCCAGTACTTCTGAGCACCCGCAGCTACTGTTCAAGCCCAGAGCCTTTCCCCGCTTCCTTTCCAAGCACCCGGTGCCCCGACTTCATGCTGTTATGGGTCAGACTCAGTGGCAGGCAGAGTGGACAGGAGCTCATCAGTTTTATGGAGAAAGCCCCGGTCCTTCAGCGTCATGATTGCCTTGAGTCTCAGAAGGGGGTTAAAGCAGGAAGGGTCTGAGCTAGCCGATGAGTTAGGGACATCCCCTGCCCTTCCTGCCACGCGTGACCTGCCGGGGTGGGTTACTCAACCTCTTTGATCAGCAGAATATTGAGCACTGACAATAACTGTTTGGGGCACCTGAGAAAGAATTGAGACCCAACAAGTATGAGGCACTGGGTGTGACCCCCTCAGGTGGTCTTGGAGGAAAAGAGTATCGGGAAGGCGGGAGTTCTCTGAATACCAGAGTACGGGGTTGGACTGTCCTGGTGCCTGTTTCCTGCTAACCTTCAACAGGCGCGTTCAGCTCCCCCTCAGGAGCTTGTTGGAGGGCTGCAGGCAACGTGGGTACGCGGGAGGGCACAGTGCACGTCAGACATGGGGAGTGAGCCAGCAGCACGGGGGCATCTGATGCAAAGAAGGGCAGCCCATCGAGGCAGCGGGACTCATTGGGCTTGGACTGAGGAAACACCTTGTAAATTAGCGTCTTCTGGTAGATAAACTTCTGAGGGCAAGAAGCTCACACATCTCTGGACTCTAGATAGAGGACTTGTGTTTGCCACGGGGAGGGGGACCCAACTTTGCGAGGAGCAACTCTGCGCCTGACCGTAGTCCTGTGTGCGCGCCACTGTCTACACTGACAAGCCCCGTCCCTGACCAAGACCTCACTGTGAGAGCAGAAGGCAAGAGGGTGGCAGGGCCGGCAGGCCAAGCAGAGCTCACCCACAGGCCAGGTATTAAAAGTCATGATTCTTCCCATGGGCCTTGTCAAAGAGAAGACCCAGGACTGGCCTACATTATACATGTAAAGTTTTCATCTACCTCTGGCCAGTGTCTTTGAAGACGACTTTCCCAAAAAGTAGCTGCTAATGAGTCAGTTTGATACATTCAGGTCGCCGAGCTCTCTTCCTTTCCTCCAGGTAGACAAGCCCGAGCTGGTCACCTGGTCCCTCCCCCCCACCAGCTCCTTCCTGTCCCTCCCTCGCCTTTTCTCTTCCAGGATGATCCTAGCGCTCCCCACAAAATCCAGGAGGTTCTCAAGTCCTGCCTGAAAGAGGAGGAGTCATTTAACATCCAGAACTCCATGTCGCCCAAGCTGGAGGGTGGCAGAGGCGACCCAGCTGACTTGGAGGCCAACTGTCTTCAGAATAACTTGACCTAAAGCAAAGCAAGAAGAGAGGAGATGGGGGTGGGCGGGGGGAGAAACATCGCTCCTCATGCACAGAGTCTGTCGCTCGTAACCATTTGTTAAGCTCTTTTCTTTCTCTGGTCTCATGGCATGCTTCGGTGTATTTGTACAGGAGGGGAGAACACAAAATAAGCAAAGAACCGAACAGTCGGGTACATTGGATCGTCTGTCTGTGCCGTCTGTACATTGCTTCTGCCGCTGTGATTTCTAAACCTGTGCTGTCATTCAACTGACTTTTTTTTTGTACTTTGACCCACCTTTTTTTGAAATACCAGTAAGAAGACAAAAGTTCTTGAAATAAAACTTTTTAAAAAGCCATTTTCCTAATGTCGTTGTGTCCACTCCCTACCCACTCTTATAAGTGTGAGTGGAATTCTTGTCTTCAGCGAAGGCGTATATTTAGACGTGTGTGAAATCCCAGAAATACTCTATGTATTAGTCTGCTCAGCTGCCATAACAAACCACCACAGGCTGGGTGCCTTAAACAATAGAAAGCTTTGTGTGGCTCGTGTGGCTCAGCAGTTGAGCATCGACCTAGGATCCAGGAGATCTTGGTTTGATTCCCGGTCAGGGCACATGCCCGGGTTGCAGGCTGGATCCCCAGCTGGGGGCGTGCAGGAGGCAGCCGATCAGTGACTCTCATCATTGATGTCTCTCTCTCCCTCTCCCTTCCTCTCTCTGAAATCAATAAAAATATACTTTAAAAAAATTTTTTTTAAGTTTTTTTTTTTAAAAAAAAAAACAATAGAAAGTTTTCTCTGACAGCTCTGAAGGCTGAAAGTCCAAGGTCAAGGTGCCAGCAGAGTTGGTTTCTGGCGAGGCCTCTTTCTTGCTTACAAATAGTAATTTTCTCACTGTGTCTTCATGTGACATTTTCTCTGTGCTCGTGAGAGAAAGAGAGAAAGGGAGAGATCTGTATTTCTTTCTCTTCTGATAAGGACACCAGTCCTATTTGATTAGGGCCCCACCCTGATGACCTCATTTAACCTCATAGGCCCTATCTACAATATAGTCACACTGGGGTTAGGGCTTCAACATATGACTTTTGGGAGCACACAATTCAGTTCATTCAGTCTGTACTCGAACCCACACCCAGCCCTACAAGACTTTAGAAACACAACTCATCCTTTTAGTCACCTTTTCCAAGTGGGCAAGTGCCTCCAGGGAGGAAGTGGCTGGATTGCCTCAAACAGGCTCAGCTCCTGATCCCTGTCCTCGCTGGGATGTCAGCCTAGTAAGTCTTCAGTATCTTGTGAGCTCTCTGATGCTTTTCAGATGTTTATACAGCTTTGTGGCTGTCTTTAGTGGAAGGGCTGGTCCAATTCACCTAGTCTCCCATTTACCGACAACAGAAGTCCTCTGTGTTCATCTTGGGACTCTAGCCCAGGTGGCATTCAGCTGGTGTCACGAGCTCAGTCTGCTCTTTGCTGTTGGATACAGGGCTGCATGTTGGGATGTTGGGTTACGTGTGGCCTGTGTGCATGATGGTTTCCCAACCTGACTCTTATCCTTTTGGGGGAGGTTGGTTGGCATGGTTCTGCTTAGGACTCCCTGTCCCCTCTGGATCAGGGGACAGACCTGGCTTTCAGGGACAGGCACCTCTGGCTCCTTTCACAAGGAGGCCCAGTCAAGAGGGATTGCATGTGAAAGCACTTTGTGAGTTCTAAATCCCATCCACACGCAAGGGTTTGTTAGTATTGTGTTTTGTTTTGTTTTGTTTTGATTTTCCCACAAGAGTATTAAGAAATTCAGATCAAAGCCCTTGGCTCTGTTCCTCACAGCACATGCAGGAGGGATAGGAAAACCCAGATCGGAAGGGGAACAGGAGACGGTGCCGGCCTAATGAATAGAGTTAGCAGATGTTGCCAAGAGTCTCTGACCCAAAGAAGGAGCTGACGTGTTGGAATAGGATATATTGATGTCTATCTGTGCCAGCCTGTTTCCTGCCAGAGGGCTGGTGCTCCTTGATGATTGTGCTCCGCGGGGCCAGCCAGACTCCTCTCTGGGGACCTCCAGCTCCACCGTGAGCTCCCTCCCCCTCTCCTTCCCCCACAGTGACTGCCTAGTGCTTGGGACATCCCCCTTTAGCACCTGGTGCTTTCAGGTGATGGTCCCCAGACCCCTTCTGTCTGGTTTTTCCACCCCCCTCCATAGCCTGCTCCGTGTTCTTTTCTCTAAGGAAAAGACAAACTGAAAATATGGGAAAACTTGGCCTCATGGAAGAAAAATCCATTGTCTGGGGGCCTTTCAGCACTGACGGGTCCTTTCACTTAGGAGAAGGGTACGTGCAATGTCGAACTGTCTATCTATACCAGGCATATTCTTGCCCCAGCCTGTGTGGCTCGGTTGGAGCTTCGTCCCATACACCAAAAGGTTGCAGGTTCAATTCCCGGTCAGGGCATAAACCTAGGTTGCCAGTACTTCTCTCTCTCTCTTTCCCTTCCCCTCTCTCTAAAATCAGTTTAAAAAACAAACTTGTCTACAGGTGAGCATACAAAGAAGAAAGATTTTTTTTTTTAATATATCTTTATTGATTTCAGAGAGGAAGGGAGAGGGAGAGAGAGAGAGATCGAAACATCAATGATGAGAGAGTCATTGGCTGCCTCCTGCATGCCCCCCACTGGGGATCGAGCCCGCAACCCGGGCATGTGCCCTGACCAGGAATCTAACTGTGATCTCCTGGATCCTAGGTTGATGCTCAACTGCTGAGCCACGCCCAGCCAGGCAAGAAAGAAATTCTTTACACAAAGGCCACATCTGTATTACTTTCCTGGGGCTACCAAAACAAATTACCACAAACTGAATGGCTCAAAGCAACAGAAACTTATTCTTTCACAGTTCTGGAGGCTGGAAGTCTGGAGTCAGGGTGTCAGCAGGGCCCCATTCCCTCTGAGAGATCCAGGGAAGCACCCTTCCTTGCCTCCTCCCAGCTTCTGGTGGTGCCCGGTGATCCTCGGCATTTCGGGCTTGTGGTTACATCATTCCAGTGGCTGCCTCGGCCTTCACGGGGCCACCTCACCTCCGCGTGTGTCTGTGTTTCTGTCTTCACAAGGCATTCTCATAAGGACACCAGTTATTGGGTTTAAGGCTCACCCTAAGTCAGTGTGACCTCATCTTAACTCGATGACAACCATAAAGACCCTTTTCCCAAATTAGGTCTTGGGAGTTAGGACTTTCAATGTGTCTTTCTGGAAAGACATAGCTCAACTCACAACCGTGCCTCACTGTTTACAACACACTTTCATATCTGGGTTCTCATCACATCCCCCCCGGAGTCTGGAGACTGGGTCTTAGGACTGTAAAGCATCAGCCACAATATTAGAGCCCATACCTTGGACTTCTAAATTTCAGTGTCCTCTCCTCCATGTAACATCACACTGTAGACACTGTATGTATAGTTCCTTGTCCTTTCTCATGCAAGTTGTAGAAATGAGGTTAGACTGTGCTCTGCAATGCAGCACAAAATGTTGGACTCAGAGCTAGAAGACCTCTCCATTTAGGAGTCCCGATTTCTCTGAACCTAAGATCCTTCATCGATACAATCCTTACCTTTTCACAGGACTACCAGGCAGCAGGGATGTAGCCATGACCAAAGCAGACCCAAAGCCCTGCTTGGTGGGACTCACTTCCCAGTGTCGTGAGGTCATACAAGGTAAGGTACATGAAAGCATCCTGAGAAGTGGAAGGGGCTGTACAAACCTACCCTCCAGGCCCAAAGGTAAGGGTGAGAACCAGCGAGGGGATAAAGGTGGCTTTCTTGGTCAAGTGAGCCAATGAGGTGTGTGAACACGGCCAGTGCTGAGAACTATAGCAGAGGCTCTCCCCTCAGCCCAGGAGCTCATGGCTTTGAGGAAGAATGAAGAACTCCACTAAAGTAAACTCAGACATAATATTGTCTCCTGAGTGTGTAAACTTGAGATTACCCAAAGTTCACGGGGGAAAAAGCGTGCAAAGTTGCCCAAAGGGATCAGATGGCCAGCCAGAACGAGCAGTACTCTGGCCAAGGGTCTGTCAATGCCCGAAGGAGAATGTATCTGTCAAAAGGTTCAACCTCCTGGTGCACAGGTACATGCAATTCGGAGGCATGTGCCTAGCAGCAGAATTGCTAGGATGGAATTTAGCCTATTTTGACCTTTACAAGATAGTATCGAAAGTGGTTGTATCAGTAACTCCCACCAGCAGTGGATGAGAGTTGCTTTTGTTCCACAATCTCGCCGACACTTGATATTCTCACGTTTTCCGTTTTAGCCACTAGCCATGTAGCAGCGTGTAGTTGTGATATTAATTTGTGTTCCCAAATTATTAGAGCAGACATCCTTGTGTCACTCATTCCCAGTCTCAAAGAGAAAGCCTCAACCTTTCATCATTAAAATAGCATTTGCTGTAGGCTTTTTGCAGATACCTGATCAAATTATGAAAGTTTTCCTCCACTCATAGTTTGCTAAGAGTTTTTACTTTGAATGGATGTTAAATTTTATAAAAAATCTTTTCTGCATCTATTGAGATAATGGTGTGATTTTTCTTCTTTTTCTCTTAATACATAAAGTTACATTGACTTTTCAAATGTTAAACCAATCTTGTGATTTTGGAATAAATATAACTTGGTTGGAAGCATTAACCTTTGAATTCATGGCTAGGTTAAATTTGCTAACATATATTTTTAGATTTTTTAAATTTTTTTTTGCGTATACATATGTTCATGAGTTAGATTGACTTGTAACTTTCCTTCCTTACACTGTCTTTATTAAGTGTTTGGTATCCAGGCTAGGACAGCCTTCTAAACGGTACCGGGCAGGATACCCTCTTACAGTCTCAGGAAGAGTGTAATTCTCGCATCTTCTCTTCCTTGCGTGTTTGGTAGAACACAGCGGTGAGGCCACCTGGGCCTGCCCTTTTCTTTGTGGAATATTTTCTTAGTTATGGATTTAGCTTCCTTAACAGTTACAGGGTTGTCGAAGTTTTCTATTTTTGTGTCACTTTGGATAAGTTGTATTTTTCTAGAACTTTGTTCATTTCATCTAAACCGTCCATTTTTTGGTATAATAGTGTTTTCAGTACCCTCTTGTAATTTTAGTATCTGCAGAGTCTGTAGCTGTGTCTCCATTTACATTTCAGATGTTGTTTTTTGGGTATCTTCTTTCTTCACGTAAGACCCTTACCGGTTGTATTAGTCCTTTCAAAAAGCCAACTTCTTGGCTTTTTGTTGACCATCTCTGTTGTATATTTGTTTCCTGTTTCACTATTTCCTGCTTTTACTTTTGTTTTTCCATTCTTTGACTTTTGGGGGGTGTATTTTGCTGTGTTTTTTCCTGACCTCT